GCCCTGGTGGTCTGTAGGGGAAATACCGCACTTGCAATTGCAGGAGTCCTCGGCCCGCACCCACAGGCTCAGAAGTCTCGTGCATCGCGAGAGTCAGTCTTGCTTTACGGCGAGAATTTGGCTAACTACAATCTTTGTTATTTAGACACATGCATAACAAATAATGTATGAAAACAAAACAACAAAATAGTCACTTTCCGCAGTAGACATGGTGATTTGTTGCTAAGCTCAAAACAACCGCGCCTGGCTTGACGGAGAAACCAGGAGAACAGCTGAACATATTTACGACAGTGCACTTTTACTTTCGCCCTCTGGGGGGAGCCTCGCTGGAAAATCAACACTGGTTGCATAGTATACCTTTAAATTAAGTGCTATACTTCCTGCCGAGGTCTGAGAGCCAAAGACAAAGTAATTGTATCACTACATTTCTTCTAATTGTCTTTTCTCTTCGTTTGAGTTTTTAAATTGAAATAATTTTTATCTTTTTACATTACAAAAAAATATTCCATTAATGCAAGGTAATTAATATTTCTGAAAGCAGCTGTTGTTTGAACAGTCATGCTGCATTTTATAGAACTTTTAATTGATTGTCAGAGCTCCCACATCCAGTTTCTTTCCCCAACACTGCAAAGGCAAGGCAACTTTAAAGTACATTTCAGCGCCAAGAAAATTCAAAAATTGTCCACAAGAAAAAAAGAAAAGTACATTGCAATCAGTATGCAGCTGTTTAAAGTGGATTTCCAAACCAATCACACCTATGTATGATAGCAACATTTAATTATTAATATAATAGCCCCTCCAAAAAGATTAGATTTTTAATCAAACACACAGAATTGTGCGCCTATAGCCTTATGGTACGTTTACATCTAACACGTTCTTAGGAGTCCTTCATAATGATAATAAATGATTATGTATTTCACTTTTTTTATTTTCTGTAAGATTATATTAAAGACACATAAAAACACAAAGACTAATGAATAAAAAACATGAAATAAAATAAAGAGTGCAGTAAGAAATAAAAGAAAATGTAAGTGGATAAATAAAATTAGCTCTTTAAATGTTTGATAAAGAATGCTATTTGTAATCAGAACCATGAATTGTGGATTTTAAATCTTGATTTTGAAATAGGATTTGAAAATTGCAGTATTCAATAACAGATTAATCAATGAATTTCCTCATTATGAACTTTAACTAAGCAATTACAAAAAAAACTTTCCAAATTGGATTTCTAATTGTATAATTTGCCTGTTAAATATGAAAGGGTTCGATTTGTTTTTTAGTGACACTCCCGTTCTTCCATATTCGAAGTCCCTTGACACAATCCAGCACAGACTTTAAATTTAAAGCAGACACACTTTTTCTATGTAAACTCACCTTTAGGTTCTATGTACATTAAAATAACCTTGGCCAGATTTTAAATGTTCCTGGCGTACGTAAGTGTTCATGTATCAATGCTATTTCGTTCACAGTGGCATAACGGTCACTTGTCTTAGCAGGCATCTATAAAGAGCAATAAAATGTTTATTTCAGCTTCAATCCACAGATATTTGAAGTAAGTTGTTTAAAAATGCTGTTGTGCAATCACTGCTGTGATTGAGATGTTACTGAGATCTGAGTCCCTTGGTTCATTAGCTCAAAAAATATACAGCAAAATGTTTTAAAGCACAGGAGGATCACTCCTGAACTTTTTACACCTCACTATATCAAATATGTAATAAAAATTGATTGTCCCATATTTCTTGTAATTACAGCAGCTGCAATCAATTTTGCAGTTGCTATTGTGTCCAATTACTCCCTTGAACAAATCCCCACAGTCCCTTTTGCTCTAAAACTGCAGCTCAGCAAACAAAGCAGAGCCTCGTATTGTCTGCAACATTTATCCACCCTGCAGGAAAAGCCACAAAAGCAGGACACTTGTTGGGTTTGTATAAGTATAAACCTGGTTTTTATTAATCTCGGCTTTAAGGGGAAATAAAATTAGCCCTTTCCTGCATGTCATCCTCCCTCTATCTGCCTCCCCATGTCGTGTCTCAGAAACATATTTAAGAAAAAATAACATCATCCATTTATTAAATAGCAGAAAATGATGCTTAAAGCTAAATATGACAGAACATCTAATGCATATATAGAGGAAATCAAAACTAATAGTAAGCTCCATTATGTCTTACTTGCATTACAAACTGTTTTTGTGATGCTGTCATGCCATATATTTTAGGGTTAAAGTAATTTCTTATTAAACTAAAATTCTTCACTTAGCATATTCAATTTATTTCAAAACTACTTTATTAATCTCAAAAGAAAATTCAATGTTACCGTGAATAAATCTCGTTCAAATTTATTGAGTATGATGAGAACTTCAGTCATGGAAGCTTGATTTTTCTTCCATGTTTTCAATATTATTAAACAGAATCATAATAAAATGTTACCCTTTTTTCAAAATATGAATTTGGGTATCAATTTTTTTTTTGATACATTTATTTTAATCTTTTAAAATAACAACATACCAGACTGTCAGACAGCTCTGGATACATAGTGTTAAAGGTGCAGGAGGAGATCTTTTTTGACGCATTTTATACCATGTGGCTTAAAGATCTCCCCACAGTCACTTAGCAAGCAGTGAAATGGAAGGTCTGGAAGTGGGACTAAAATAAATGGTCCCTGCTACAGTGAGAAATCAATAAATAACCCCAAACAATCAGAAAAGACGGTTCGTTGTACACGATTGGTTCCTGACTCGTCAATCATGGTTGTCTACTTTTCCATCCCCCCTGTGCGCGTACCCTGACACATGAACGAATCGACCCCCCAATGCTTGTGCAGGACACCATGGCTGAAAGCTAACCACTGTTACACGATGTTCACACCTAAAGCAGCAATAGCAGCAAAAATGCCCCTTGTGCTTCATTTTTTATGCTTGTACAAGTTTAGTTCTGATGCACGGTGGAAAAAATGGGTCTGATGCGTTGTGGGGCGGAGCTACTCTATCCTTTCTTTGCCTGTAACTGGCAGATATATTTGCTGTGATCAGTGGGTAAAAAGTAGTTTGTATCTATTTTAAAGTGAGAAAGTCCACCTGAAAACATCAGTGCTGTCAGTTCATCCTGATTTCAATTATTATTTCTGTCGGAGCTGCTCAGACCCCCGTAAAGCGACGGTGCGCCATCATTAGGAAGCCCATTCAACAGCAGCCTATGGCCCGGTAGAATGTCATGCTAACGAATGGGACTGTATAGGGGTCATGAAAGTTTGATTGATTGGACTTTTTTTTTCTTTTCTTTTTTTTTAATTCCCCTGTTCAGTTTTTTTCCACTAACTGACATGTCTTTAAATCCACATTAACATGAATTCAACAGACTGTAGTAAACAGATAAATGGAGGCAGAAGATGTCTTTCAGTCATCAATGCACACATTCAGCGACACACTGGAGCTCTTTCAAGCTGGGCACCGTTTCATTCACAACACCTGTCCCATCAACCAGGAATCAGAAATACTTTAATAATCCCAGGGAGAAATTACTTTTGTTACATTACTCCATCTGTAATAGAGAGACTATAGGACCAGATTGATAGAACACAATTTCATACAATATATATAAAATTAGTGGGTCCCCGCTACATCTCGCCATCAATTTGGGGGGTCCCTAATATATGGAATAAAAATGAGGATTACAGGGAGGCAGGCCAGGACACAACAGGTAAGCAACAAACACAATTCGTTTGAGCAAAGGAGGTTTAAGCAACATGCAGTTGTGCACAATGAGCTACGCATCTGGGAGCAAAAAGACCAGTACACCCACACTGGTGCTCTGACTGCTGGGGCCACAATGTCACAACAATGTTTCTACAACCTGCCTGTCAGAGTACTGCTATGTTACAAAAAGGCCAAGAAAAATGACATGTCGGAATGTTTGGACATTTAAAAAAAAATAAAAAATAATAGAAATATTGTCCTCAACAATAGAGTCTGAAGATCACTGTCTCAATAGGAAATGTATAGCTCTGAATGTGCAGAACTGGTGGTGACAAACCAGGAAAGATAGAAGTTTAAAAAGTAAATACACATCTGACTTTGATTATTTTCCCTTTTCTGACAGTTTTGTTCTGCTTCATACTGGGGTAGTAAAAATAAAAACAAAAAGCACCATTAATATACAGTATGTTGAGGTTTAGTGGTTATAATGTAACAATGTTTCCCTGTGTAAAAATGCTATTCCAAAACACTGTACATTAAAATTCTACTTTCATCTAAAATGTATTTTTGATTCATGCATATTCATGAGAATAATTTCTCACACCGCTTACCGCTTTGTGAGCTAGGATTCATATGACCTATTTAACAAACTTCTACAGAATCCGCTGTGTGACTTAACCTTCTGCTCTTAGAGTGTATCTTTCTGAGCTTTACAGCAGATTATTTCTAATCATTCATAGAGAGGGTGAGCAGATTTTGCATATTTTGCAAATATAAATGTAGAAGGCAAATCTATGCATTTCTTCTTATTATTATTAGGATTCTTTTTTAACAGCAAAGTTAGGGAGAACAGACCAAAAGTAACTTCCTGTGGTGCCACAATGAAGATGAAATGCGATTATTCAAGGCGGTGGTGAATGAAAAATTATGATGAATGATCCAAACAAATCTACAGTTGACTCTAATACAGCAACACAACATGAGCTGGTTTTGTTGCTATCTTCAAGCAATTAATCACCATAATGTTTGCCTGTTCAATAAGGAAAGTACCGTAGGAAAAGAAGCAGACCTGTTTACACACAGGTGGTGCTTGTAATGTTGATTACTTGCTTTGCTATTGTCATCAAAAGTTTCCCTAAAAGGATATATGAACTTGTTCTATCATGAGCAAAAAATAATTAGATGAAGATAGGAGTCTAAGATAAGCAAAAAAATACTTTATTGCAAGAATGCAGGAAGCCAATGTAATCTCTCGTAACACTGAACCTCTTCCCTCCCAAACAACCCCCCCACACACACACCACTGCCACCATCTTTTCTCTTCAAGCAGAAAAAAGAAATTTCAAATTGGATTTTTGATCTCTTCCTTTAAAGGTGCCTATTTTCACATCTCACATGGGGAATCCTCAATCCTGTAATGAAAAACAGATTGAAAAGTCTCTCAAATCAATCCAAAATAAATTCTCAAAAAAAAAAATGAACTCAAGGTGCAAATAAATACAGATTGTAAGAAATATTTTCAAACCATAGTAATCAATCCATCCATCTATCTTTCCACCATCTCCAGCTTATTCTACCAGGGTGCCTTACCTCCTGCAGGCTATGGGTGAGAGGCGGGGTCTGTCGCTGAACCAAAGTCAAGCTTTTTCAAGTAAAATAAAGGAAGAAAAGCATATGAATATTGCAAACTATGACATTATTTACAAAGATATAACAACAAGTAACTGTGACCTGAAATGGGTGCATTCCTTTGATAAAATCTGACAGTCGAAAGTTGACCAGAAATGATGATAAAAGGGATATCCGGGGTCATGAACGTCAATTACTAACATTTCGGGTAGATGGCAGGTTGTGTAAAAATAATGATAACATACGTACATATAACATAATAGATTTGCAAAATAATTGTTAGTTACAGCCCTAGATTACTTTTACTCTTCAATTCATAAATGTGCATGTTTTGCCACTGGAAAAACGATCTAGAAATAAGTAAAAAATTCCTAAAAAGTTTATTTACTCTTAATTTGAGTAGGAAAATGAGATGATTTGCCAATGGAATTAGTATTTTTACTCTTAAAATTAGATATTTAGATAAAATGCACTTGAAGTAAGACAATGCAATTGTGTTTTCTTATCATAAGTGTAAATTGTCTTGTTCAATTGGCAAAATGTCTCTTTTACCTCCACAATTCAAGAACAAATTAACTTATTTTAAGAAAAAATTACTTATCTAGATTTAGATTTTTTTCCTGTGTGCTAAGTTATTGGAAAAGTACAGCGGCCATTTTTATGAGCAGAGCTCAAAATCATCCTTAGGAAGGAGATAACCAAATATATTTTAGGGTTTAAAACTGCACAACATTTTCAACGGAAACAATTTGTGAAACTGGGAGATGTGGAATCTGACTGGCAGGAGGCTGTCTGTGGAGTACCACAAGGATCAGTATTAGGACCAGTCTTATTTAATCTCTATAAAAATGATATCAGTAAATTGTCCAAATGTATTAAAATTTACCTTATTCGCGGATGACACAAATATTCTAGTCTCTGGCGACAATTTAGAACATCTTCTCTCAACAGTCACCTCAGAGATGAGTAAGTTAAAGATATGGTTTGACAATAATAAATTATCATTAAATTTGGACAAGACAAAAATCATTGTTTTTGGGAACTGTTACAAAGATACTGAAATCCAAGTTTCTCCGCGTAATAATAGATTAATAGATGACAAAATTAGTTGGAAGCCTCATATTAAACATTTACAGGGTAAACTCAGTAGAAGCATATCTATATTGGCTAGAGCTAGACATGTATTGAATGCTGAATCACTTCATATCCTATATAACTCTCTGATTTTACCATATCTATCATATTGCTGTGAAGTGTGGGGAGTTAATTACAAGAGTTCTTTACATCCGGTAACCATCCTACAGAAACGAGCTATTAGAATCATCCATAATGTCGGTTATTATGAGCATACAAACCCACTCTTCAAAAAATCCAGAATTCTCCAATTTGACGAGCTTGTAGAATTTAAAATGGCTCAATTCATGTTCAAAGTATCTAAAAAGTTGTTACCTGAGCACATACAGAGCATGTTTTCTGAAAGAGAAGTGGGGTATAATTTAAGGGGTTACTCAAACTTAAAGGAATAGTACACCCAAAACATGATTAGCCTTCATTTTCTACTCACCCCCATGCTGAACAACACTCTGGAGTACTTTTTTGATATCTCAAATGCATCTGGAGATCTGGGAGGCTTCTTGCTGTCTGCTGACATTCAAATAATGGAGGTCTATGGCGCCCGAGACAGAAAGGTCCATAAAAGTCCACAAAAAAACGTGTCAATATTCCTCCATACTGCTCGTCCAATGTATTCCAAGTGTCCTGAGTGGGTAGCATCCAGAATTTACTTGAAACGAAGTCATTTAGAATGTTTTTAGAGCATAAACAGTAGTGTATAGGATTTCCTAAAAGCGCGTTCACGAGTCTACGGAAACTGCGGCAGACCAAACCAGATGAAAGTGAGCATTCAGCATCTGCTCTGCCGATAATGCAAGCGTAGAAGAAGAAATTTGCTGTTTACCTGTGCAAAGAAAGAAACAACGAAAGAAAAATGTCTGAGGACTTCAGTGTTGAGGAAGAGCATGAGTTATTTGCCGAGCTGAATGCGCACTTTCATCTGGTTTGGTCTGCCGCGGTTTCCGTAGACTCGTGAACTCGCAGGCGCGCGCTTTCAGGAAATCCTATACACTACTGTTTATGCTCTAAAAACATTCTAAATGACTTTGTTTCGAGTAAATTCTGGATGCTACCCACTCAGGACACTTGGAATACATTGGATGAGCAGTATGGAGGAATATTGACACGTTTTTTGTGGACTTTTATGGACCTTTCTGTCTCGGGCACCATAGACCTCCATTATTTGAATGTCAGCAGACAGCAAGAAGCCTCTCAGATCTCCAGATGCATTTGAGATATCAAAAAAGTACTCCAGAGTGTTGTTCGGCATGGGGGTGAGTAGAAAATGAAGGCTAATCATGTTTTGGGTGTACTATTCCTTTAACCCTATAATGCCAAATGTATCATATTTGATACATACGGTTTCTGAAATGTTTTGCATCTGACACCTTTTGCATAATTTAATGGTAAAAACTTTGCTCAAAATCCTATTGTACACAATCAGATATACCTGATAACAGAGGGACTACAGAAGACTACACAAAAAATAATCTTGACTTATCGCATATTAATAAATTATTAATATCAAAAATGTATTTCTGTTTCTTCTTTTTACATATTTTGTTAAAAAGGCAAATAAGGAATTCAAACAAAAAAAAAAGTAATTTTCTGTTTTGTTTTATTCTTGGATCAGGTTTTAAAGGGTTAACCCCCACACTGTTCCTGGGGTGCCGCACAATGGCAGCCCGCTGCTGCCCAAGGGGATTGGTTAAATGCAGACAGTGAATTTTGCTGCTATGTACTTGTGATGACAGTAAAGTTGACTTCTATTCTACTCTATTCTTATTTTATTGTATTGTATTTACATAAAAACTAAATATCGCTCAAATAAAGGCTGCTGCTACAACCAATTTTGGATCCCTTTATTGAATATTTTTATTTAGTGTCAGCAGACAGCAAGAAGCCTCCCAGATCTCCAGATGCATTTGAGATATCAAAAAAGTACTCCAGAGTGTTGTTCAGCATGGGGGTGAGTAGAAAATGAAGGCTAATCATGTTTTGGGTGAACTATTCCTTTAAAGATGCGCAAGTTGAGAACAACAAGAAAAAGCTTCTGTATTTCAATTAAAGGTGTAAAGTTATGGAACAACTTAAATGAAGATTTAAAACAAAGCAATAGTTTAATAAAATTCAAAAGAAAATATAAGGAGGTCATTTTCAATAGAGATAGACATATGAGTGAGAGAAAGCAAAAATGTGTGTATTGAAGATAACAACTTGGTGTAAGGGTTTGGAAAGACAAACCAGCATAAAAAGGGAAATGTTTAGGTAAATATTAGTAACTGCTGACTGTCACTTTGACTTTCTCTTGACTTAGATTTTTTTAATAACAGTAGGACTGTAAGTTTTCAAGTGTTTAGGGGGTAGGAGTTAATAAGTTTTCACTTCTTCCTACCCCATTTTGAGCATGATATGTTAATTGAAACAAATATCTGTATTTTTTCTCTTCTTTTTTATGCACTTCTTGTTACTGTGCACTATTTTATTTTTATATTTGTATCATGTTCGAATAAATTTCATTTCATTTCATTTCAACCTTTGTAAATCGTTATACTAGAAATAACAAAATATCAATAGAAATTGAATAAATATTTAAAGAAAAATATTGTAAGTAAAGCTTAAAATATGGGGAGTTGGGTGTTCACTTTTATTATATACAGTGCACATAGAGTAGGCAGTTCACTTTGAACCATAGCCAAGGTAATCAAGGTAATAAAAGTATTTGCGATGCATCTTGATCTAACCTTGTCATCAGACCCCATGACAACAAACTGCAGTGCTGTATGGAAGTGAGTGGAATTACAATTAAGCTGTCATTACCTTAAAGCCAGTTGTGCTGGTAATTGTGGGAGGATGACAACAGGTTGGCCAGCATTAACTCTCATCCTCCTTTGGCGGGTTCAGCACCTGCCTGCTGGCCACGGGCCGAACGTTTTCCTGACAGGCTCAGCAGGAATGATTGATGCCTGAAGGTCTCTGATGGTGAGTGCGTCTCACTGCCAAGCTCCCCCATCCATCCAGCGTTCTCTCTTGAAACTCATTTAGGTCGCACCTGTCCTTACACGCTTTCATTCTCTATGTTTATTTTTTCGTTTCTTTTTTCTTTTTTTTTTTTTGCTTGTAGGCTTACTGCTCGGTGGTGTAAACACTTCCAGCATAAGCCAGTATTGCAGCACTAATAATTTACTGGAAATGTAATCACCTTTGGGGGATTCATGGCGGGTCTTAGGCAAAAAAATAAAAAATCTGTACATCTACGTTATTCAGCTAATGTTGCTTCAGGGCTGTTTAGAACCATTTAAGAAAATCTTAAAAAGCTGTTAATTCTCATGTTCCTTTATCCTGCTCAGAACAGTAAATCAACCTCAAGGCATTTACCCTTTTTTCCCCCGATATCAATAAACTCTGTATGTCTTTGTGTATTTGACTGGAATGCTCTGCAGTATTAAGGTCTTTATCGTCTTTCTATGCTGCACACATACACACACTTCACACCTTGGCTCTAAAGAATTTTAAACCTTCTGATACTGCTGCATTTCATTGGTATTTTCAGCAAAGAGTGGTGAGGTCTTAGAAGTCAGCTGGCATTAATTCCTCTGAGGCTGGAAGGAGGCTTAAGAAAAAAAGTTCTCCCACTTCCAAATGACTCTTTCTTCTTCCTTACAGACACTTCACTCCATTTGATGGACAGGTAAACAATAGCTAATTAATTGTGATTATGTTTGATGTTTAGTAATCACTTAAAGGGTGCTACATAGAGGTTTGTTTTCTCTCCATTTGAAAATACTATGTTAATGTGAATAAATTCAGGGGTTAAAACTCATTCTCTCATCTTTCTCAAGGATTCTGGGCAAAGGAATGATGAGCGCATGTTTATCCTTAATATGTAATTTCCATACTGTAGTAGCTATTCAAGATTTCCCAACTTTCCTAGATTGGTCCTTGGTTGTTGGCTGGTCCCCTACCTTTTTAAACATTAATCTTTGTACTAACATATTCTTTCTGTCATGATTTTTGAATACTAATATCTATTGAGAATAGGGATGCACGATATTGGGATTTTGGCCAATATCCGATATGCCGATATTTTAAAACTCATGTAGCCGATAACCGATATCGATACTGATGTTAAAGCTGGACAAAAATAAGTAGCCATTGAAAATAGCAGTTTTGTTATCCATTTCTGACACTTTGAAAAATAATAAACTCAAATATATTTTCATATGCTGATATCAAATTGATTTTTAAAAACGCTGTATCGATCTATTTTACTTTCAAAATCTTGTGAAATTTCATCATTCTGTTACAAACTCTCGTGATATTTTGCAAATTCTTGTGAGATTTTTTTATTAAAATAGATCGATACCGCGTCAATATATCAACATATAAAAATATGGCAAAATTTCGATGACATATAGCAATATTTCATTAGTAAAAGAGATTGATATGGTGTTTTTAAATGGCAATATATCAGCTTATGAAGATATTGTGATATTTTAATGTATCAATATATTTTCCCTCGTCTTTAGAAGTTTTTAAGTCTGTAAAAAATACGTTTTTGAGGAAGAAGTAGTAGTATTTTTTTCAGACTTTAGAAACTCAGACGCTGATCAAATATCGGGTTAAATATCGGTGGGGTGGCCGATGTCCGATATTCAGTTTTAAGGCCGATACAGGCCGATACCGATAGGGGGCCGATTATACCGTGCATCCCTAATTGAGAAGCATAATATGCAACAAGGGGTCACTCCTGGCTGGAAGTTGGAGGGGATTTCACTGTGAGTTGCAGGGAAGTGGGCTGCCATTCGGCTGGAAAGGTCCATTTTTGAATGGCTGCTACAGTAGTAGGAATGGTGCTCGATCCACACTAAGGAGGGGGAATTGGGCAGTGCGGTTTTGTTGCGGTTTCTGAAGTCCATATTTCCACAACATATCTTCTCTATCAAAAGCTGCTCTATCTGGAACACAGCACCGATCACAGTTAGAGAAAGCGCTATAGGACAGAGAGTTTGTCCCTTACCGAAGCGGTCCCCAACTACCGGTCCGTCGGTCATTTGGTACCGGGCCGCACATATATATATATATATAATTTATCGACGATCAGAGTCTGAGTAATGTTTTATTTTGAAAAATATAAAAAATTGTGGTATTCTCTCCCATCAGTCGGTGCATCTGTGCCTCTTGACACAGGTTAATTCAGTTCAAGACTCATCCTATCTATAACATCCTATCTTTGTGAAGCGGGATTTTCTGCGGTTACAGCGACCAAAACAAAGCTACGGAGCAGACTGGACATCAGGAGCACACTTCGTCCGTCATTGTCTCCGATTACGCCTAGATGGGACCAGCTTGTTGTTTTATTTTCATGCTGTTTGTATTTGATTTTACGCCAGTCGTATCATTTTACTTGATCGTATATTCCCCCCCCCCCCCAAACACCAAAGACCTTTAACCCCAAAACTTTTCCCGGGGTGCCGAACAATGGCAGCCCGCTGCTGCCCAAGGGGATGGGTTAAATGCAGACAGTGAATTTTGCTGCTATGTACTAAGTTGTGACAATGTGATGACAGTAAAGTTGACTTCTATTCTACTCTATTCTTATTTTATTGTATTGTATTTACATAAAAACGAAATATCTCTCAAATAAAGGCTGCTGCTACAACCAATTTTGTATCCCTTTATTGTATATTGATATTTTATTTATTTATTGTTTATTATTATGTTTGTGCTTGTGTAGGTGCACTTCAATTTTAAGGACCTTAGGGGTTTATTTTTGAGTTTTTTTTATATGTTTCATTGTCTGTATCTTGAAATGATTCTTACAGTGTAATCAGTCTTAAATGAATGGCATTGCATGTTATCTTCTTTAGCCTTGAGCTAACACCATGTCTGTTCATTTAAATATATCATTCCATTCAGGTAAAAGGAAATACAATAAGAAAAGAAAAACAAAATTGTAAATAGGAACAAACTGGGGTAGCTGCTTTATGCAGAAAAAAAGGACATTTATTTTTCCCACCAAAACTTTGATGCTAGTTGGTGCATTTACCAAGCACACACTTCTTTGAATTAACAATGTCAAATGCCATATTTTCCTGGCTTTGCTAAACAATTTCCTCAGTCTTCAGGTATTAATTTAAACATAGTGTCCTTTTTTAAATTGACCTCTCCATTCGTTTTACAGTTATTCTCGCTAGTTTGTAGAACCAGCGATTAGCATGGGTGTTACAGAGGGAACCGGTTTGGACAAAACCAAGTTTTTGACACATGGAAATAGCTGCAGTCTGCGGTGAGCTAACGTCCATAATGAGACGGGAAAAGCCTCGTTCCTTGCAGAAATCCAAAGCCCTCCGTGTGAGCTGTGAGCCCAGGTTTTTGCGGCGCCATGAAAACGCCACAATTATGTGAGACATTTGGGCATAACTTCTGTTGACGGCATCTTGAGCGAACTCTGTGCCGCTCACTGCTCCGTTCAAGTCGTCAAACCTTTCACCGTCGTCTTCCTCCCTTTTGCCCATCACCGCCACCATCCCCACCACCTTGGCCTGCCCGTTTACATCTACTTCTGTCACCCAGAAGCCATTGTCTGGATTTTCCAGGTAGCTTGCTTGAATGTCGGCCATATCAGCACTTAGCCTCCACATCATGTAGCGATCGTAGATGTCATGGCAGCAGTAATAAACAAAGCCAGCCCAAATACTGCCAAAGAGCAAAGCTTGAAAGTAGGAGCTACCTCCAAGGACATAGCCAGCCATGGAAATGCTCAAAGCAATGCCGACATGGTCTGGGTTGCTTATGGCCTTGAAAAATGCTGGATAAATATGTTCAAATATTCCATCGTGAAAGAGAGACATGACCACATGTTGATCTGATGGTCTGTATTCCCTGATGGAGAACTGAACTGAAAAGAAAAAGAGGGGAAAGGAAAAGAGACTCCGTGAGACTAATCTGCCTGTTTCTGTAACCACAAATTCCTGATGGATTTCACAATAAGCTCAACAACCTTAAATAATTTTAAAAAATCCTTAAATGTGCCTCTTTTGCAAATAAGAATTTTCATTGTAATTAAAGTCTTTGCATTAATATAAAACATGCATTTGCATGACAACCTGAGGTGAAATTCACAATTGAAATCATTAGACCCATTATTTCATTTTCAGATTCCAAGCATGAGTCATTGCCTGTTGAAATACAATTATGTTTCAAATGTGCTGCTGATCAAAATCCAATCAAGGTGAGATCTTGAGGCAGCAAACAAAGGGTCTGAAGTTGCACCGAACAGTATGACATGTCATCTGCACATTTAAATGTAATATCCCCCTCTGGTGTTAGTAATCTTGATTATAATGAACTCCTCTAGCATGAAAAATAAATGAATTAAATAGCAGAAAAGAGTCAAACTTACAGTCGCTTTTGTTGGCCATGTTGACTCTTTCTTCTCGCTTTCTGCTCACACTAAAGGACTTAACACTGCTGCTACTGTGCCTGGATTTGTGCTACAGATTGTGATAATCAGCTGTGCATGAAAAAGAGTGAACATATTCTGAGCATGCTCAACATGCACACACACACAGAAGGCCTTAGCCAACTTACGACCACTGATTATAAAAAGCATTGAAAAATGTGTGTACTAACCCACAGTTATACTGAGATGATATTGATTTGTGGAAGTGTGTTAAAAGTTTGATTGAAATTATTCACAGCAATGATTTGATTATAAAACATAGACTTTTTTTTTAAACCTAATTAGCTTAGTCAACAGAGTAAAGAACTCAATCATTGGGATTGTTTGGGAGAATGAGCACAGATCCTGAATAAATGAAGTTGCAAAACTGAGTAGAATGTAAATCCGACTCGGCTGAGGTTTTAATCCCTAGCCAGAAATGTTCCCAATGCACACGCTTCTCAGTGAAATACAACATTATTGAAAAGATCAGAAAGTGCAACTGATATTATTCATTTAACACAGAAGAATGATTTAAAATATAAATTAAAAGCCTCTATTTCGGATAATTTTGATGGTTGTATTAAATCATCAGTTGATAAAAACTCAAAATGTTACGGTTAAGGTTTCATAAAATGAGTCAGAAATACAGATGACCTCATATAAAAATGGGAGCCTGCTAAAAATTACTATATGTCCATTTTCTCTATAGTATATGCTCTAAGTAAACAGTTGTAGCTCATTTTCCATGATTTTCTGCATAAGGTGAGGTGGGGTGTAAGACAGAGTTGTCAAGTAACAAAGTACAAATAATTTGTTACCTTACTTAAGTAGGAATTTTGGCTATCTATACTTTACTGGAGTAATTATTTACATCCATGAGGTCACACCCCAATGTTTGATGAGAAGGTCTGACTTTAAGGCTACACTCTAATTCATCCTAAATGTGTTCTACCAGGTTTAGGCCACTAAAGTGAATTTACCCCAGACTCTGCGAGCCATGTCTTTATGGACCTTGCTTTTTTTGCAGGTCCACATTCATGTTGGAAGAGGAGGGGCCCCCTCAAAACTGTTCAGCCAAAGTTGGGAGCATGGAATTATCCTTGTTTTCCTTTGACTGCAACTAAGGGGCCAAGGCTAGCTCCTGAAAAGCAACCCCATAATCTGATTTCCTGATGGAGAAACCCAATTATGGGGCTGTTCAGTGGGGCAGTGGGTAGCACTGCCTTGCAGCAAGGAGGTTCTGGAGTTTGCATGTTCTCCCTGAGCATGCGTGGGTTCTCTCCGGGTACTCCGGCTTCCTCCCAGTTTGTCCTGTGTGTCTCTGTGTAATGCCCTGCGATGGACTGGTGACCTTCCAGGGTCCTGACCCCAATTGGGACAAGCGTGTCAGATAATGGATGGATGGAAACCCAATTATTCACTCCAGAGAACATGTCTCCATCTCTCTGGAGTTCGGTGGATGGGTGTTTTACACCACTCCATCTGACGCTTTGCATTAGACTTGGAAACGTATAGCTTTGATGCAGCTGCTGAACCATTGAAACTCATTCTACAAAGCTCTCTGCAATTTGTTCTAGAGCTAAGGCTAAATGAATTTAGGTGCTATGAGGTGACTGACTCTGCAAAAAGTTGTCGACTTCGCACTATGCTCTTTAGCATCAACTGACCCATCTCTATCAGTTTACGTGGCATACCACTTTGTGGCGTACTTGTTGTTCCTAAGCACTTCCATTTTCTTATAATACCACTTACAGTTGACTGTGGAATATTTAGAAACGAGGAAATTTCATGACTGGATTCAATGCACAGGTGGCATCCTATTCCAGTTCCAGACTGGAACTCCCTGAGCTCTTTAGAGTGACCCATTATTTCAGAAATATCTATAAAAACAGCCTGCATGCCTGGGTGCTCTATTTCATACATGAGGGGCCACTGAAGCATTGAAACAAAACAGATTCCAGACCTTTAGATGGATGAGTAAATACTTTTGATCTTATTGTGTAGCTGTAAGCAGGAAGTATCATGTTGGGGTTTAATCGTCTAACCCACATGCAGAAACACTCAGAGACAGGGAAAAAGTTAGAAGATTTATTGACAATGTTTTCAGAGAAATATGAACGTCGTCTTGGTTAGTCAGGCTGGTCACGGGAGGGAAGCAACTAGAGGAGGACAGATCGGTTAGAGAGGATCCAAGAAACTTGCTGCTCAAACGGCGGCTTGGACTTATACCTGCTCAGAGGGTATTCTGATCAGCAGGGGGGGAACCTTGTGGGTCCAGAGGCTGGTCGGCAGGCTGAGGGCAGAGGCGGAGACGGAGGCTGAGGCGGAGGGCAGATAGGCAGGTTCCAGGCAGCGAGTTTTCTCCAGGAATCGACTGGTTTCCAGGTTTGTCAGGTTCTGAGAGGCAGAAGAAAACAGAGTCAGAGGGTTCTCAAAAAATCAGGAAAAACAGATCAGATTAGGCTGGCTCAGGTTTGCTGGTACCATTACTGGCAAACACTCTGGCAGGGAAGTGTCAGCCTCCTCCTCCTTAAGGCCTTTAGATGAGCAGATGGGAAACAGGTGTGCAGAAGTCAGCTCACGCCCTCAGGAGGAAGATCTCAGGTGCCCTCTGGTGGAGAAAGGTAGACAAGCCTCCAGATCCCAACAGGAAGGTTCTTCTAAAGAGGTTTATCTTGCACTGGATTTGGAGAAGCCTTTGACTAAAGACACTGTATTGTTTTTTTAGCAGGCTAATGAAGAGGATGCTAATGTTTTTCCATAATGATTTCATTACATTGAATTCCTTGGAGTAAAATGATCTACAGAGGCTTAATTCTTCTATCCCTCTTTAGATTTATTTCTGTTATTAATGTCGGTGGTGTGATCCTGCAGCCATGTTTCAGTTAAACACATAATATTGAATTCCCAATATTCTGGCTGGGTCCTTGCCAGGGCTTGGAGTTCTAAAAATATGACTGAAGGAAGTGACTTTTAACAAACAGTTTCTTTACCAATGACCTTTTGTCAGTGATTCTCATTTTTAATGAATGTCTGCTGGAAACCAGATAAGTCAGGAATCTTGGTTATGGTTCTATTGACCATAACCTGGCCATTTCCAATTTAAGAATTCTTTTTGTAAGTTTCTTAAAAACGTTAAGTATTTCTTTGTACTTGAGTCTGTAATCAGCCTTTATAACATATAAATGTTAATGAATAAGATTCTCTGAATATGCTAAAGAGCTTGTACAAGCCTTTATGAGTAGGTACATTTTGGGGGCCTTTCTGGTGATTTTGTTACTACAGTTGAGGGTGGGCATAACATTAATACTGCCTGTCTCTCTGATGTGAAGGTGTCCTATGCTGATCGTGACTTTTGCAATAATCTGGTGGCCCTCTGACTTGACTCAACTTTCCTCTGCAGAATAAGGGTTTTTACACTGACTTTAATCAATAGCTTTGCTTCATGCATCTGTGGGGGCCAGATGGTCATGCTCTGCAAAAGCCTCTGGAAATTTTAAACAACCATTATGCAAATCCTGATCCCCTGAACCTCCAAACTCACTCACTAAAAGTAAGTCCATTATGTGTGAACAAATCCTTTCAAAAATCTAACTTCTCTCCTATTTTCATCTTAATCTTAATGAAATCCCAATGGATCATTCTAACACTTCGGTAATACTAAATACAGTGAAATAAATTAAAAGCACATGATCATTGGCCTCATTAAGCCTAATGTGATACATTTCTCATGGAGTAATTACTTCCCATCTTATGTTGAAAATTTAATTTTGCTTGATAGATTAGTTTAATCAAATGTAAAACACTGGAAATGTGCTGATTTTTAGTTTTCTTAGAGATAGTATTGACACAAAAGCCTTGGCGCTGTTAAAAAAAACTACTTTGACAATTATCATGATTTTTCATGCCTGAATGTTTCATTTTGTCAAAACATAAACTCTGTTATTCTTATTATCTGATTTGACAAAAATCAATGTGAAGACGCGGCGGACTGGAGTCGTAACAGGAAGCCCGGGCCACATGCGGCTACGCTCTACCCCATCTATTCATTCGGCTAGCTAATGTGAATCGTTCAATTCCATTTCGAGAGCGAGATCATCTGTGGTAGTAGGACTAGACATCTTCCATGCATGTGAGTAAAACTAGCAGCAGTTCTGTGGACAAGATGTATGAATGGTAGCCGGCGTGCGCGGATGACGTCATACAGGCGCCATTTTGTTTAAAAAATATATAAATATAAAATCGGTGACAAAGGGCAGCCCTGGCGGAGTCCAACTCTCACTGGAAACGAGCCCGACTTACTGCCGGCAATGCGGACCAGACTCTGACACCGGTCATACAGTGACCTGACAGCCCGTATCAAAGGGCCCGGCACCCCGTATTCCCGGAGAACCCCCCACAGGGCCCCCCGAGGGACACGGTCGAACGCCTTCTCCAAGTCCACAAAGCACATGTAGACTGGTTGGGCGAACTCCCATGCACCCTCCAGGACCCTGCTGAGGGTGTAGAGCTGGTCCAGCGTTCCACGACCAGGACGGAAACCACACTGCTCTTCCTGAATCCGAGGTTCGACTATCCGACGGACCCTCCTCTCCAGCACCCCCGAATAGACCTTGCCGGGGAGGCTTAAGAGTGTGACTCCCCTGTAATTGGAGCACACCCTCCGGTCCCCCTTTTTGAATAGGGGGACCACCACCCCAGTCTGCCAATCCAGGGGGACTGCCCCCGATGTCCATGCAATGTTGAAGAGTCATGTCAGCCAACACAACCCCACAACATCCAGGACCTTGAGGAACTCCGGGCGGATCTCATCCACCCCCGGGGCCCTGCCACCGAGGAGCTTTTTAACCACCTCGGCGACCTCGCCCACAGAGATTGGAGAGCCCAGCCCAGAGTCCCCAGGCCCAGCTTCCTCAATGGAAGACATGTTGGTGGGATTGAGGAGGTCTTCGAAGTATTCCGCCCACCGACCCACAACGTCCTGAGTCGAGGTCAGCAGCACACCATCCCCACTATAAACAGTGTTGGTGCTGCACCGCTTCCCCCCTCCTGAGACGCCGGATGGCGGACCAGAATCA